CACCCCGCAGGTGCCTGGGCGGGAGGTGACTTGCCGTGGCGGCCTCTGTCACCGCCGAGCTCGGGGCCTTGCTTTAATCACAGGGGCTGCGGGCGGAGCGCGACGGGAGCCGGCGGCGCTCTGTGGGGGCAGCCGGGCCGGGGCTGCGCCCTTCTTGTCAGCAATGCGAGCCTCGACCCCCTCCAGCCGCCGGCGGAGGGATCGCTGACCAGCCGGCACAGAAACCAGCCCAGTTCTTGGGCCAAAACAGGGGCTAAACCACCCTCTGACTTCTAGGGTCTCTCCTGTCGTAGGTGACATTAGCAGCATTATCAGGGTCTTCTGGTATCTTTCGATTATTTGGGATTTTTTTTTTTTTGTGTGCTTGTGGTGGCGGTGCTAATTCTGGTAGAAACGCCCTCCGTAGCCCTGTGTTTCTGTTGGCAGGGACATGTCGTAGCTGCTGCTTTTCTGTGTCTTTCTAGTTTGGAAACACTGGGATGTCCTCCAGAGGTTTCACTTACACATTGCATATGTATGCTGGAATCGTGCTGTGTGTCCTTTACAGCAGAGCGTCTTGGTGTCTGTAATTGCTCCTTCTGTTGTGATCAGGAGGGTCCCAGTTATCCCAACATCTGTCTACTGCAGCTGAAGGCCTCTGCTGTAGTTTAGTTAAGGATTTTCTGGGTCATGTGCTAGAAGTCAGTGGAGGGACTTGTGTGTTAGCCTTGTTTCCACATCAATAAAGCCTGAAGTGTATGCATAAGTCGGTGTCTGCTGTCATTAGTCAAATGAGAAATTGCGTCTTTCTGAACTAGGGAAAAATGTAAGCTGCTGCATTAGCAAGTTAGACCTTAAAAATGTGTATTTCGAATTTCTCAACAGCAAGGTGGAACAGACCAGTGTCGTCATCTGTTAGGTGCATGTAAGAACTATGTTGAACCTGTGTTCAATGTGGAACTCCTGGGCTTTTTTAGGTCATAATCTGTCTTGCCTTCTTCACTGCCATTGTACCCACATTGGGATGACCCTACTGCTGCTCTTAATGAGTGATTACAGAGGGGGAATCTTCACAGCAAAGGGACAGGAGGCAGCAGACACAAGGTGTAGTAATGGGAACTCTAGAACTAGAATGAGGAAAAATATTTGCACCATGAAGGTACTCAAGCACTGGATTGGGGGCCCGAAGAAACTGTGGGATCTCTGTCCGTGGAGATATTACAAACTGGACTGGACATGTCATTGAGAAACCTGACTTAATTGGTTAGTTAGGAAGAGGTTGGACAGTATAAATTCCAGTATAAATTATCCTGTGATGCTCTTCAAGATGAGGAAGCAGCATTGTTCAGGGTAGAGTTGACTGTTCCTAAGGGAAGACAGTGATTTAGCTCTTAACCTCTGTGGCTGGTAGCACAGAACATGTTAGATCTTAATTTCTGTTGCAGGTTAGCACACAGACATACAAGTAAACTTTAAAAACTGGTGATTGCATTTGAGGTATTGCATTGAACATTACGGGCTGAAGGACACGTAATATTTTGCAAGACTGACATGTGTGAACAGGACTTTAAATTTACTTGATGGAGGATTTGGGGTTTGGGGAAAGCCATAAACAATTAAAAATATATAATAAGTGGAAGAGTATAGCTATAAGCGTTCTTTTAAGCTACATAATCACCTCTCAGTTTTGATGAAATGCTTCTGTCCCATAACTCATGCTCCATGTTGTTCTCCAGGTAGTAGATGGAGCCATTGGAGAAGTCCAGTCATAACAATCTAGTAAATATTGTGGTGTTGAATGCTACTCCTAAGTCTTGCTTGGTCTCACAAGTTGTGTTTCTTATACTTGCTGTGGGTGTTTGCCGCCTGACAGGTTCTGGAGTTCAGCTCTGGCAACTGGAATGAAAAAGAGCTTTCTCTTGCTCTCCCACACACTCTCTCTCCCATCCTTTCCCCCTAATTCACACCCCAAAGACAGGTGCACAAAATCAGGGAAGGGCATGCCACTAATTCTGTGTGCTGGAGATAAACCAGCTGCCGGTCACACTACCCTCAAGAACACTCTGAGAAAATGTTGTAAGCCTGAATTAGTTTGGAACAGGCGTGGATTGTGGGAGCAAAGATTAGCTTTCTTCTCCTTAACAGGAGTTATCTTGAGTAATGCGGATAGAGACTGATTTCCAAAACCAAAGGAAAAGAGACATCCTTGCTCTGTCAGAATGTGCAGGAAAATTGAGATAGGAAAATAAATGAAATTCATTCTACTCTAGTAGAACACATACTCTAGTATGTGTTTCAATGTTCCTTAGCAAATGTGGAGTAAAACTGATCTACTTTGTAATTTTTGTTGGCACTGGTGTTCTGAAAGCAATTTTTTCTTCTGTATTTTAGTCTCTTGTTTCTTGCAGAAACAGAGCAAGAGTAAAAGAGTGATAGACATATGTGTCTGTCTAGGCATAGGGGCTTTGCAGTCATACCTGCTGTAAGCCACGTTCTAATAAACAAAACACAGCAACTTCAAGCTTAGATTTTTCTCATTCTTGGAAATACTGTTCTTAATCCATTTCTCTCTACAAGCCTATTTTACAGTTGCAGTATTTTTTTCTTCTTGGTCCTGACTAGCACAACTTGGAATACTGACCAACCAGTTTTTTCTAGCTTAGAATAATTTTTGTTATTAGATTTGCTGTTCAAGCACTGTAGCTAAAATAGCCAAGCATTCAGGCTGTCCTGTATTTGTAAGGTGAAATGAATAGCAAGTTGTCCCCTAAATTGTACAAAGCTAAGAAAAAAAGTGTTGCTCCAGAATTACAGTAAGCCTGAAATTGCAGGCTTGACTTCTGTGGACTGGTAACTTTTTAGGAGCTGGCACTGGAGTGGAGAGACACAGTAAAGCCAGACCAGTTAAAACTCTAAAGAAGACTTTTTGTGATGTTTTTTTTTCCTTTGTCTTTTCTGCTGCCTCTCAGTGTCGTGCTCTGGGCCTTGACATTTTGCTATCAGTAGATTCCTGGGTACAAATAAAGGTCTTCCCAGGGCTAAGACGTTCTTATTTGAGAGAGTCTTCTTCCTGAGTTGTCCTATGGTTGTAGTGAGTGGAAGTGTTCAGTACGTTTTCCTTAAAGCACTGGGGAGATTTAGCATTTGAGATTGTGCTTTTTCCTGTTGTAGTTAGTGCTTGAGAAGTTTTCTTTTATTGTAACAATAAATTAAGCTAATCAGTACAGCTTGCTGAAATTAAAAAATTCAGTATTAATTGGTATTGGTAACAGTATAAATGTTCTGGGTCTGTGCAAGTTGAACAGTTTCCAACAAGATAAAATCCTAGCCTGAAATTAAGCAATTGCACCATCTTTCTCCATTAGAATTGTCAGCATTTACCAGTACACAAAAGAAAAGGACTGTAAAGATCAAGTAAAAGTTTAGTTGTGTGAATTGTTGTTTCTAATAGGTGCTGCTGGAATGTGGGGTAGATGGTATACGAATAAAATGCATCAGAGAGGTTTATTATATGATTAAGCAGATCTATCTTTTTGGAAGATTTATTCATGTACTTTTATAATTTTTATTTTAAACAGGAGATGACAGGTGGAAATGAATCCTGTACTGCAGGACCAACATCTATGTCCTACTTATCTTGCCTGACTTACATTCTGGAAGAATGGACCGGTGTGGAGGATATTGGAGATTATCTGAGTTATGCATTCTACATTTTATGGTTGCTTTTTCCACTTGTAGTAGTCTTTGTACTTCCAGGAGTTATCGTCATTCTCTTCTACATTTCCATTCTCTGGCTTCATATTTATAAAAGGAAGAATGAAATAAAGGAAGCTTATTCCCATGATGTTTGGATAGGTGCAAGAGAAATGTTGGCGACCATATGGGATGGACATGGAAGAATATGGCATGGTGAGTGAGATCTGACCTTTCATTAAAAGCTTCTGAAGCTCTTATTCCTCATCTGGCTTTCAAGATTATCAGTACATGGCTGATCGTTGCTGCTGGTGCATGCCAGTTCAGGCCAGGTGTTTTTTTCTGTTTTATGAGTGACTGTCAGTGGTGTTTGAGACAAAAAACAAGGCACTGAGACTTTTTTGAATGTAAGTTTTTGTCTTACACATTCCTTTGCTGCTATGAGATCTCAGTTATGCTTGCATGTATTCACATTTTTTTTTAATTGCCTTTTTTTCTGTTTTTTGCTTTTTATAAGAATTCCTGGATTTCCTCATTTGATGAAGACCTGAAATGTGTGTTGTGTTAAAAACTAGATTGATTAACTGTATCATTTCAGGGTCATTATATGAAGACTGGAAGTTAAATACCAGTTCCCTGATAGGAAGTATGTCAGCCAGCACATGGTAGGATAATTTAATTGCACTTAACCAGTCTTACATAAACTACCAAGTGATGGCTAAAAGGAGCACTTAGTTGCTTCTTGAAATTAACTTAATAACTTGATACTTACAGAACCCTACTTTTTTATTTTGTCTTTATATTTTTGACTACTACTTTCTCTACTAGAATGTCAAAACTAAGGGCTCTGTTCTTTGTCCTTCTGCTATTGTTTCTTGGTAAAGACAGACTTAATAAATGATTTGGCTTTTCTCTCTAAGGAAATCATAAGTCTCTTTCAGAGCCAGTCAGTCTAGATGCAGCTAAAGGAGAGAGATACTTAAGAGCAATTTACATAAAGAATAAATCCTCCTTGAAAATCATCTCTATTTGTTCTCTAGTCAAAGGGAAGAGGGTTTTCAAGGCATTGATAACCAGATGGTGCAGCAGCTGTATCAGATAGGCTTTGTAAGACTAAGATGTAACTTTCAAATCTGGGAAAGTACACTACATCAAAATCAACAGTTACATCAAAGAGCTTAAAATGCTCACTTCACAATAAAAAGTTATTTACTTTTTTTCACAAGAAAATTATTTTTAAGGCCTTGGTTCTTTTAATCCTCAGTAACTTTTCTTTTATAAGGTCTGACATTTTATTTGTGCAAGAAGATTCTTATCCAGTCCCTCATTGACAGCTGTGACTTTTTTCTGCCCTGCCAGCTGCTTCCCTCTTATCTATACACTTGTCTTGCTAAAGAATGAAATGTTTTTTTAATTATTTTTTTCCCCCAACTTGGTTCATCAGGATATCGTAAGAGGAACTTTCCATCTTGAAATCTAACAGCATTTAAGAAAAAAAAAAAGAATTAAAAAAAAGAAAGGTAAAAACCAACTTTACAACGAAAAACCCCAAACCTGGTGATTGATTGTGTAACTTTACATGTATTGTGCCTATACCATGTGTGTTAGTTGGCTGGCGTGGAGCACAGTTAGGGGTCCCTTGGGATGGGACAGATGATACACTTGCAATGTGTTGCAGCTACACAGATATACAAAGTGAAATTGAGGGAGAAGGACCAAGAGTACCTTCAAAATTAAATTATTGGAATAGGTATTGCGAGTCTGATTAACTTTGGAAGAACTAACAGGATTTTGTTGAGGTTTTTTTGGGGGGTGTTTTCTATTTTCTTATTTTATTTTAAAAAAGATACTGAAACAGTACTACTGGGTTTTAACTAAGTATGTTCTGTACTGATGCATTTTGGCATTTTGTGTTAATTAAATATATTCTGCACTGTAGACTAGAAATATGAGGTCAGGAAGAAGCTTGTGTGTGTTTATGTATTTTTCAGCTAGGCAGATACAGTCCCAACTAGCTTTTAGTATATAGTGATGGAAAGCTGGAACAGGTATAACTTGGAGAGAAGTAGCTAAGGTAAGCTTCATATCCTGGAGTAAAAGGAGACATGAAAATGCATGCTGTCATGTCAAATCTTCTAAAACAGTCACTAGTGGCAATAAATTTTGAAAGGTTAATAATAACTTGAAATAGTTGTTTCACCACTCTAGTCGGTATTTTGATTTCTCTTGAATGATTGATTCTGAGGACTTTGCACCCTTGAAAACTGAACTGAAAAAATAAGGATAAATTACACAGTTTGAGATAGTGAGACTGGGTGTTTTGTTTTAATGTTTTTTTGCTCTTTCTCAAGGTGTGGTGCCTTAAATGAAACTTGTATTCTCTCTGAAGCAACTTGTATTTCCTGTAGATTCTGCAAGTTACCTGTTTTTATCAGTTGCTTTGCTCTTAGCAGTTCTCAATCTGTGTCAGTTTCAGTTTGCCAGCTTGCTGCAAGTTAGTTTCTTTGGGATAGAATTGTGTAAAAATTTAACATCTGTTACATTTTTAACTCCTAACAGGTTATGAGCTTCATGGTGTGGAAAATATTCCTCAAGGACCAGGACTCGTTGTGTTTTATCATGGAGCTACTCCTGTTGATTATATCTATTTCTCAGCTAGACTTCATATAATGAAGAAGAGACGCTGCAGCGTAGTAGCTGATCATTTTGTCTTCAGATTACCAGGTAACATACTCCATTATAAACAAGCAGTTTTGGAATTCTTATTTCAATTTTTTAATCATGTAATTAGTAAAAATCACATTGCAGGAACACAGCTTTCAGAACTGACATTCAGACAAATTTAGTGTAAGTTTTGAAATACAGCATGTTCTTTACAAACAAGAATGAGACTGGCCCATGCAAGGATGGGACATAGTCCTGTCTGAGCAATACCTTCCAATGACTCTAAGGTGTTTAGAAACAAAGAGAAGGAGATATTAGGAGAAGCAGTGTTCTCTGTATTAATCATTAGCAAAGATTTCAATAAGATGTTTATTTTTCATTAATACAGGCAGAATAAGTGGTGTGAACTGACTAAGAATTAAACTGTTTGGAACAAATGCCCTACAAGTTAAGAATACTAGTCTGGAGAGACAATGTATTTTCTTATTGCACCCTACTCTTACCCAGCTGAGGATGGTGGACAGTGGAACCTGTCCCCAGGAAGACTGTTCTGAGTAGAATCTGTTTTGGAGGAAAGCTGGAGAAATGTTTAATGTGTTTGTGTGAAACATGAGGCGAAGCAGGTAGAAAATGAAAAATATGTTTAGGGCAAGATTTTGTCAGACAGCCTAGTGAAATGAACTGACAGTTGGTTGAATTAATTATGTGAGGGGTTTGTTTTTTGTCTGTGTGAAACACAGTAGTACCCACTTTCTTTCCCTAGTTCGGTTTGTGATTAAAGGTCTGTCAATTCACAAAATGAATTACAAGGAGCATTCTGTAGTGTAGTGGTGCTTTTAGTGGAACCAATTCATATAAGAAAACTGTCTTTTTGTTGGTATAGATTTATTTCAGCCTTAGTCCCTGCAAACTTTTCATACTGATCATGGTATGGCTTTGCCTCTACAACTGCTTTTGCCAACAGAGTCATTTGTCAGCAGTTACCAAATCTTTTGCATACAGATGACTAATATAACCTACTTCATGATGCAGATTTGGCTCCATATTGTATCTGTTTAGGCACAGTTGTTTATCAAATGAGGCATTATGTTTTACTCCTTTTCTGCTTTAAAATAAGGCTCTAAGTGTGAGTATACTTAGGAGTCCCCCCAAATATCATTAAGTAGCATTACAGGAACATCTTGCTGAATGGCTGATCTTGAAGAACTGGTTTCAGCAGTACAACATCTAGCTAACAGCTACAGGCGTTCCTCAGGGATTGATACTGAGACCACTGCTGCTTAGTGTTTTTATAGTACCCCTGGATGAGGAGCTGGAGCATGCACAAGAAATCCACTGATGATACCAGACTGGGGAAGCTGTTGATATACTGAGCATTAAAGCTTGTTCTCAGAGTGCCTTCACAGAATTCAACTGGCAGAAATATTATGAAGCTCAGCAAAAGCAAATGTGCATCTGGGACGGAGCAATTCTGTGCACGTTTATTACACGTACTCTGGATAAAAGGGGACTTTGCAGGAAAGATCTTGGGATTCTAGTGGACAGCAATGTGAATGTGAGTCGACAGGGTGCCCTTACAGCAAAGATGAACTGCATAGTGAGCTTTTATTAGCATGAATGTTGCCACTGGGTTGAGTGAAGAGGTTTTTCCCCTTGGCATGGCACCTGTGCAAGCACATCCTGTGATATGGTGTCCAGTTTTGGACTCCCCAGTACAGGGTAAATGACACACTGTCTGACACACTGAGGCATGTTCATTGGATGATGGGGGTCTGGAGCATGCAGTGTATAAGGAGAGGTTGAGAGAACTGGATTTGTTTGGTTTGTACCAGATAAGGGTGAGGAAAGATACTATTGCTGTCTTCAGCGACCTAGTGGGAGGGTGGGGAAAAAAGGGAGTCACTCTTCTCACAAGTGCACAACGATAGGTTGAGAAGCAACAGAGACAAGTTGCAACACAGGAAATTTTGATTAGACATGTGGAAAGATATTTTGCCATGAGAGTGATCAGGCAGCTGAACAGATTGCTTAGACAAGTTAGGAATCTCCATCCCTGCAGATTTTCAAAACTCTGCTGGGTGAGGCTCTGAATAGCCTGATCTAGTTGGACCCGCTTTGGGTGGGAGGCTGGACTAGATGACCTCCAGAGCTTCCTTCTAATCTACAGAATTCTCTGGTTCTGTGAAGGAATTAAGGCTATTTGGGGAGACAAGCCCAAAGAGCCCAGAAAATGTTGCGGTTTCAAAATAAGCAAATAAGCACAGTAATCTATGACTGGCAATACAGGTGGATGCTGCTTCTCTTGTGAATCAAACCAGAAAGACTGCGTAATTTTATCCTAATACTAAGGCTATCTGATCTTAATTAAATTGGATGTCTTTTCAGAAGATGTTTTAACCAAAAGTTATTATGATCAATGCAGGGGAAATGGGAAGGGGTGGCTGTGCATTTGGGGAGTCTGTTAGACACACATGGATGTGTCAGAATTGTGTCAGTATTGTGTAAGTATATTTTCCTTGCTTGCATTCTGGAGGAGAAGGATATAAAATACTGTCATGTGAATTTTTTTTTTCCTTCTTTTATTACTAGAGGTTAGTAACAGGGAAAAGCAGCCCAAATACTCCAGGTTTCTGATTCCTCTGGACTCTTAGCTGTGTAGTGCTCAGAAGTACATTGACTTCTCTAAGTTTAGGAGAAAGCCTTTTCTCAAAGCATTCAGAGAGGACTGAGATTTCACTTCTGTTCTTTTCCGTTATCCTCTGCTATAATATGGGCCATTTTTGCTTCTTAAAGTCATCTGGGACGTCTCTTTAAAAGGTTGCTTGCTATTTTATGTAACTAAGACAGTCCCTTTCCTGTAATGTTCCAGAGGAAAGAAGCTTTGGCTTCTTGTCTGTTAAACGCACAAGGTGTAGCAAAGCATCTTGTGGACAAGATGCTCTGCAGATATACATATGTGATTACCTGCAACTATGGAAGGCTGGATTCAATGAGACCATTGAATTGTGTTTGAATGGTTCCTCTCTGTCTGGGGTCCCTGGGAAAGTCATGACATCAGCTGACAGCTCTGATGTTCCAGTCATTGGGCCAAGAGAGAAATGTACATAGTGCACAAGTTGAGATCAGTGTTACATGCATTCCTGGGTAGTCTCCAACTGGTTTTCAAACATTTCTGCCAACACAGTCTTGTGGAAAATAGGAGACGAGTATGCTGGGTAAAGGGCAGAGTTCAGGTTGAACCGTGGAATAAAATTAAGTTTGAGCTTCTTGGTGTCTGGAGGAACATGTTCTGGATGGCTGAAAAATTGTCTTTAGATAATTTTGAGAGTTGTTTTGTTTTTTAAAATGGAAAAACAGATTCTTGGTCTGTTTCATGCAGTGCTACCTGGTACTACCCCGGTGTTTCTTGTAACTTTGTGATGACCTTTGCCTTGGACACAGGTATCGTGGCTGTCCTTCCAGGGTCACTGTGTCAGATTCTGTCTCTCAGCTGCTTTAAGGGAGCCAGGTTCTTCTTTGGTACCAAAGCAGAGATATCAGTAGTAATGTGTGATCTGCTGGCAAGTCTATGAAGTACAGCTCAGAATGTAAAGTTGATAGTAAAAGTCAAGGGAAGAAATACAGCTGAGAAATTTTGTGAAGACTTGAAACCTCCATGGACAACTATATTTTTTTTTGTCTGTATTCTGTCAATATTCTGTTCTGTTTTAATGATAAATGAGCTGGACAGACTCATGTTGTTGCTTTGTCACACACACCTTCCCCAGTGTATCCAGTGTAGAAAGGAACAATGTTGTCACGGTCTTTGTTTCCTTGGATTCTCTTTTCCTGTTCATCTCAACCCATTTCATGATTGTTTTGTCTGTCTCCTGAACTTACTGACAGAAAGGACTTAGAGACAGGCAGCTTTTTACCACCAGATACATTTCAGAGAGCTTTAATTAGGTTGGGAATGTTAAGCATTGTAAAAAGTCAGCTATTGAAAAATCCCACAAAAAAAGCACCTGAAAGAAATTAATTTAAATTAGGCATACTCTATTTCAGATGTTCCTCCATGCAAGTGTTACTAGATAAAGACTGAGTATAATCAGCAGTGTGTGAGGCAGGCACACCAAAATATGAGGCATGTGTAATGCGGCTTGTGTTCTGTTGCCATGTGCATGGACAGATCCTGATTTGGTGTAGAGATGAGTTGGGAGTAGTTATACTCACACCAGCTACAAAGACTAGCTAGAGATTAGACTTAAGTTAAGAATAAACTAATAATGTGTTGCCTCATGCTTTTCTTCCCAAGCCCTTCATTTATGCAAGCTGTAATAGAAGACAGGAATCTGCCTTCTTAACTTTGTTTGGGCTCTTCTTTAGCATGTGTGTGTATGTAAAAAATGTGTGTTTATGGTCAGAGCTATTAATTTGGTATTAGGAGGCAAACTCAAGTAGATCAGTTCTTTCTCCTTGTCAATGGCTGATTTGACTGTGGTTGTTTGTTTCAGTGGGAAACTTCATGAAAGAGAAGTAATGTTTCCCTTACTGCCCAGTCATCCAAATTATCCTTTTGGTATGCAGTGCTCACAAATACTGTATAAATTTAAAAATTATTGAACCAACTGAACAGGACATATTTCCTGCAAACAGAGGTCGGTGGTAGTTATGTCCTTCAACAGTAGGCTAGCTGTCTAAATTGATCAGATATGTTCCTTGTGATGCTTGAATGACAGTCCAAATGACATGTCAAATTCAAGGTGATATGCAGAGTTTATGTAATCTTAGGTGAAAAACTCCAGTAACTATATTAACAGAATGTGAGTGTACCCAATTGAGGCTTACCAGATGCCTCACTGTATGAAATGCCATCCAGGTGCTCACAGACTGAACCAGAGTCAATTGCTGCAGTGATCCGTAATGCAGAGAATGATGCATTTTCTCTGTCATTCTCCTTCTTATGCACTACTGTTCTTTGTCAAAGTTCACAAAACAAAGCCACAACAATTTCCTGGTATTGCTTCTTGTTGCTCTCTGTTTGGACTATGCTATGTTTAAACAGTAGAGCTTGAGCAAGGAGCCAGTGCTCTTGAGTCAAACAGCTCCTTCGAAGGGACATGTGAAAGGTGTCACAGAGTGCTTGACAGTTCTTTTTCAGTTTAGTCCTGATTGTGGGGTAACACCTGACAAAAAACCACTGAAACCCCTAAATCTTCAACTCTGCAGACCAAAATCTGTAAGTTTGACTTAATGCTTCATTCCCTGTTGGGTACTTGGGGCCACAGCTTATTAGACAATTGACTTTCAGGCATGGTGCTTTGTACTGGGAATCTGGAATAATGGTAGTATGAGTAAACATTTTCTGAATTAAAATTATCTTACCCTACAGGTTTTAGAATACTACTTGAGGTATTTGGAGTTATACATGGACCAAAAGAAGCTTGTGTCAGGACTCTGGAGGAGGGCCATCTGTTAGCCATTGCCCCAGGTGGGCTGCGGGAGGCACTCTTCAGTGATGAAATGTATACTATTTTGTGGAGTGATCGGAAGGGCTTCGCTCAGGTGGCCATTGATGCAAAAGTGGTAAGTATGACACATCATGGAAGAGAAGCAAAGTAAGCTAAGTTATTAGTTACAGAAGTTATTAGTACTTTCTCCCAGATAAAGCTGTTTTGATCGTCATATATTTGATATTAGATTTCTGACTGTCACAAGGATAGTCTATTTGCTCTAACAACTACATTTCAAGATTCTTTTTGTTGCTTTTGATAAGAAGGCTTTAGAGTCAGCTAAGAATAGGAAATTCTGTGATTAGGAAATCCAGAGTTTAAAAGAACAAGAAATGAAATACAAGGTGGTTTCTCCTTATAAGCATGTGCTGTTTTACACATTCTTGGTTAGTATTGTGATGGCTTAGCCCTCCCTGACCAGCTTGGTTGGGAAAGAACCCTACACATCAGAGTCACAGAATATGCTGAGCTGGGAGGAATCATCAGGATCATGGAGTCCAACTCAATGTTTCTGTTTCTTCTGTCACTAAACTGTGGTGTGATTTGTCTGTGGTATAATATGTATTTGTCTGTGCCAGGCTATAGACTCACTGGCACTTCGTATTGTTTTGGCATCTTATGGTAGTGAGGGATGTCCAGGGCTGGTCACTGGTGTGAACTCTTCAGTTCTAATGTACAATATTGGGCTTGGTCAGCAGGCAGGTAGTTATTCATAGGGGACCAACTGTTGTGTTGTTAGGGCACAACAGTATGTGATACATTTGAATTGCAACTATTTTAGTAATCATTTCAGAGTCTCTCTCGTTCTAGATTTGTACTTGAAAGATGTGTGCATATGTCCATAGGTCTGCATGTATCTAATTTAAAAGCAAGTCTCACACCAGGAGTTTTATATTTAGTTACTGTCAAAGACAGACTAGTTAATTCTCTGGATTTTATACAGAAATAGAATACTTTTAAGACCCAAGTGTGCATCACTTTTCTCACAAGGAAAATGACACTGTTTAAACGGGTATTTTCCACAGATTTAGATTTTACTAACGTATTGTAATAGCATGTGAAAGGCCATACTTAAGATTTAACTACGATTGTACTAGTTGCATTTTTTTTTTATTGGATGTGTTTTTAGTTGCCTTTTAGTTGCACTCACAAGGGTCTTGTAGATTCATCCCTCCTAAAAAAAACCCTGAGAGACATAGTAAAATAGAAAGAGAGTCAGAGGCTGGCTGAAAGTGGGAAAAATATCTTTATTTAGATTGAAGATGAACTTTTAAGTCACCTTGAATCATAAGCAGAACTCCTTATGGAAAGAAGAATGTGTCAGAAACATCAGTAAAATGTGTCTAAAACCGGGACCTTCAATTTCTTGACGGTGTCCTATTTCAGCAGATTTTTGCCAGAAATTTTGTTTATAAACAAAAATTTCTACCTCTATGTCAAAAGTAAGATGTTCCAAATAAAATTGTTCTAGAGTAAAGAAATTTGTATGCATACTGTTTAGGCAGCTGCACTTCTTTTTATTCTCTGTAGATATTTACGGACTTTTTTTCCCTCTCAAAAAACCCCTAACTTGATGCATGTCTGAAAAATTACATGTGCTCGCTCACCTCCATGCTTGTCTTTAAAACTTTTAAAATAATCTGAGTTAATGAAAATCCCATGAAGAGTTCTGCATTTTTAATGATGCTGTGTACAGTGGGCACATACTATAAAATGATACTGAAAAACTTTATATGGTAGCTGACACCCTCACAGTTCTTGTAAGTCTTGACAGCTGTTCGCAGTTTTAAAAACAGCAATAAAAACTTGAAATATTCAACACCATTCCATTACTCATCAGCAGAAATAAGTCATGGACATGTATTGAATATGACACATCAAGTGTGAAGCAATACCATCAGCATAGCAGAGAGGAATCAGACAAGTTTAGTGTCCCAATCCTGTGAATCCTTCCCTTTGAGCATAACTACAAATTAGGTAAGAGGTTTAAACACTTAAGTCACAACTGTGAAAACACTGCTAGATGGGGGGGAGGGATGCCTAAATGCTCCATAGTTTCTTAAATTCTGGACTGCTCTGAGAAAATAGGCTTGCTGAAACAGTGACTCACTGAAATCTTGTGGTATTCTCCAATTTGAAACATGGCAAAAGGCCACAGAAGAACTTCAGTATATTTATTTTGATCTCTGTCCTGTCTGCAAAACACTTCAGAAATTAATTTTCCTGTTGAGTTTTAAGTGAGGTAGAAGTTTTTTAGATAGTGCTATCTTCCTTAAATTCTTAATTATTTTTTTTCCCTCCTAGCCCATCATTCCTATGTTTACACAAAATGTTCGAGAAGGCTTTAGGACATTAGGAGGAATAAGTAAGATATTTTCTATTTTTCTGTAGTTTATTTTTCCGTATGTGTTTAGCCTATCTCTGTAGAAATAATTCTCATATAAGTTAGAGATTTAACACAGCATTGTTTCTTGATGTTTGCTCACTGGTGGAGTTCAGAGATGTTGCTAGGATTTAATATCTGCATTAGATGTGATATTGGCTCATTGAGGTTATTTTCCACCTAACAGTGTTCTTTCACACAAGCAGTAGAAGAAAGAAAAAAGGATCAAGAAAAAGACAGGAAGATTTAAAGCACTTTTTTCTCTGCTTATATCTGCTAGGCCAATCCTAAGTTTTCTGCTGTTTAGAAACAAAGCAACTGCCATGTAATTCCTGTTCTCCTACAGCTCTGTGCTTACACTTTTACCTGTACTTAAAGTTTGAGTGGTTTGAGCTACATTTAATCTGTAGTTGCTTTCCTATTCTGCACTAGACCTGTGGTTCCTCACAAATAAATCCTTGTATTTGGGACCTCTCCTTCTTTATCTCTATGGAACTTGCAGCCAGAACATGAATAGATGGGTCTTTTGTCTGAGGGGTCTGGGATGATTAGATGCCCACATCTCTGCTCATTTGCTAGTGTTAAACTCCCTCTTTTTTATATTCTCTTAGTTACTATCTAGCAGAGGGGCCTGAACAAGTCTCCACACCACTTTTTCTGTCTCAAGTGTGGCATTATCGCCTTTTTCAGAGGGCCACAAGGCAACACCATTCTGTTTCTCTCCCCCTCCGTTTAAGAGCTATATATTGTGTGGAGAGAGCCAAGGCATCAGATGCAGAAGCTAGAATAATTCACACATTTGTCACGTTGTACAAAAATAAACAGCAATTAATTGTTGCTGTGTTCAGGAGAATCCCAAACAGAAGACATCGAAGCCAAAATGATTTATGCTACTTGCACAGCAGAGTTGGTAGAGGAGTGTAGCTTATTGATCAGTTACTCCAGTTTCAGTAGTTTTATCTTAGTTTTTATAGGATGTGTACAGAAAATTCCACATCTTGTTCAGTAAGGATTTTCTTATGCCAGCACCCCAGTTAATGGAGTTTCTTGTCTGAAATTGAGGAAGATAATATAAGTGCACATTTTTCAAAGAATCTCTTCTGGGTACATTTGGGATAAATGCTTAGAAGGTGGCATGTGGAGAAGAATGTGTTCTCTTAGAAGTTTCTCTGTGTTTCTCTGATTGAAATACCCGTTTTCTCTCTTATATTGTTTAACTGCAACCAGCATGTAATCTGAATGAGCAATTCAGTATAGTAGCATGACTGACTTTTAGGCAGATAAGGCTATTTCTGATCCTGTAGACCTCAGTGGGACTGAACATGCAGTTTTCCAATACTAGTTTCTAATGCTAACCTGTCAAATGACCTGAACCTGTAACCTGTATTGTGTAGCATTCTCCTCCTCTCCAAAGAGGCTGCTATTGACTTTGTCTCCTCTTCTTTCTTCTTGTTTCAGCTACTCTTTGGAGGAAAGATTTCACACCAAGTTAGGGTAGAAATAAATCTGATATAAGCATTAATGCGGCTTTTAGGAAATGAAAGTCAAGGTAGGATAGGATTTGAGATGACACATTGTTTGAGAGTTTGGGTTGGGGGCTAGATTACTTTGCAAGCCAGTTTCAATGTTAAGACATAGTGGGGAAAAAAAACTTTACAGAATAATCCCAGTCTGTCTCTCTCTCTCTCTCTCTTTCTCTCATCCCTCCTTTACCCTTCCCTACTCCCCTTCTCCCTTCCCCACCTTTCTTTCTCCTGCTTTCCACTACATTTTTTCACATTAGAAATACTTAGGTCGCTATATGAGCGTATTAGATTGCCAGTAGTTCCTCTGTACGGGGGATTTCCTGTCAAGCTACGTACATTTATCGGAGAACCCATTCCATATGATCCAAATATGACTGCTGAGGAACTAGCTGAAAAGGTAAGATAAATATCTATATATGTTAATTTAAAATATTGAATGTTCTGATAAAAATCACTGCAACAGTCTTGTCAAGTGATTCCTGTCTAGGAGCCAGTTACAGAAATGGGTGGAATCGTGGTAAGTTTTGTACTTGCCTAACTCTGAAAATCATTTTTAAATACTATATTTTTATTGCTACAACTTGCAGATGTTCTAGGTCTTTTAAGGTTAATTGCACCCTATATTTGCTCTGAGAAACAACTTGCTTTAAAGACTGAAGAAGTTTGGTCAGATAAGACATCTCTCAGTTGATAGAGAGAAGCACTTCACCCAAGAGGAAGCATTCTGCTTCCTGGTGTTTTCAGAAGGATACTAAGGAAGCCTTTCAAACATAGCAAATCTATGTTCACAAACTGTTGGAATTACATGCAATAAAAGAAAAAGGTAAATAATTTCACTGCTTTGTCTAGTATGTTTCTATTTTGTCTGGCTTCTAACCTATCAATTTAACTTCTAAATGTTCTTCTTATTCAGACTTAGATGCCTTATAGAAAGGATTTTCAGGTCCTCATGTGCATTCAGATTATTAATAGATTTCACAGTGCAAAGACATAAAGCAGTTAAGTAGTGGAGCAGTGAAATGGAGTGGGCTGGAATAGGTATTTTTGAAAACTCCACAGATGGTCACTTATAATATTCCAAAAACTTCACTTGAGAGAGACTTTTCTTGACCATGAAGTGTCAGTTCAGTTATCTCTCTTTATCTGTTTACCCTATGATTAAGTCTCTGCAAAAAGATGCTTAAAATGTTTGTCTGCAATATCTTAGGCCCTGGTTATGAAAAACCGGTTGTTTCTTTTGTGGGGTCACTCTGACAGGACTTCAGAACTGCTGGCTTTCAGCAGAGAATGTGTTTAAGTTACTTCCAAACATGATTGGCATCTTACATTTATGCCAACCCTCACTTACGTCTGACTTAAGTTCATATTTTGCTAGATAAGGCCCCTAGAATGTGAATTCCCTAGAATTCTATTTAGTTAGAGGGATTTTAAAGTTGTGTCTCATATTTTGGGCTACAGCCCAGTATGCATTTTTTCATTATATAGAGCAAGAAATACAGCTCAAAATTTTAGAACTGTAGAGTCACTTAGACTTAGACTTTGTATAAAGACCTTCTCCAAGGACTTAACAGTTGATCACTTACTTCATGTAAACAGTGAGAGCTTGTTCCAGGAAATAACATTCTACTAACATCTGCTCTTGCTGACCACTTTAGAGAGGCAAATAATTCTCTGTTCTGTTTCTGGCCTTAGGAATTCAGTAGCCTGTGCTTCTCTAGACAGAATACAAGTGTGTTCTCACCACAGCTTTTGTGTGTTGCCCTGCTTTTGAATGTTCGCTTTAGAGCTTTTATATAATAACAGTAACTGCTGTGCACTCCTTGGCCTTTTTGTTTTTTGAGTGAAAGTGAAGGCTGCTGTCACCTGCAGCTAAGTGGCCTGAGCATGTCACAGGACCAGTTCTTCAGGAGCCTTGGGTTCAGAGGGCATTATTTTGTACAAGTCAAATATGCTGAGACAGTGGTGTTTCCAGTGCCACTTCTGAGCACGTGTAGAAGCAAAGTTGATGCCCACTGGAATGGTGTTATTGATGCATAGGGCATAGGCAGGAGTTGGAGTTGCAGTACATCATGCAGGTGTTTAACATGCTTTATAGACCTAAGTCTCTTCATGAATTTACTCTGTTGTCATTTGACTTTTATGTATCACTAATTCAGCTCGTGAACACAGCTACTAGACATAATAGATACTAGTTTGATGGTGTGTTTCATGGCAGTGTTGCCACAATCACATCCTGAGGGCTTAAATATGGAAGAACAATATTTTGAACTTGAAATAGTTCTGTGGTATTTGAAAGGATTAAAAAGAGCCTAGAAATTGTGTTGTTATATGAGCAGTATTAAGATGAGGTTTTCTGACCAAAACCTTTTCTCTTTCCCTACAGACAAAAGCAGCAGTCCAAGCTCTCATAGAAAAACATCAGAAAATACCAGGAAATATATTTAGGGCTTTAATGGAACGATTTCAAACACAAAAGAAAGAAGATTAAGGTCTTCTGAACTTAAACTTCTATAACTACTATTTAGTTATAATATTCTTAAAGTGACATTTGTAAATTATTCATTCTTCTAATAATAGGTTTTAAATACTGTCCTAATGATACTGCTGTATAATTTAAGATAGAAGTCACTTGCCCTTACCCTTTCCCCTGTCCACTATCAAGCTCAGTAACCCAAACTTCAAATCATTCATAATGGGGCAAAGTTTAATTTTTCATAAATGCATTCCTACCTTGGAAGTGTCTGGGTTGTTGATTCTGGGTTTGTTTTGGCATTTTTCTTCTAAATGGTACTGCAAGCTTTTATGTATATTGTCTGTCTTCCTTTTGATCTGTCATTGTCACCCATCCCCACCATGATGGATCTCTAACCTGAGTGTCAGACCCTCTGCAGAGCTAGAATCTTACTGTCTTGACCTTCTTCAGTGTCAGGTGGTTTTGTGGGCTGCCATACAACACGTTTGAAAACTTTCCTGAGATTGTTACTCTCACACTGCTGGGAAACAGTCCACCACTTTTGGCCTGCAGAACCTCTGCCAATGCCTGCAAAACCTGTGTTGCAAAGTGTTTAGTTTTGCTGGGTGAGCTCAGAAAGGGTTCCGAGGAGTGAAAATTGATTAGAGAACTACAGTGATCCAAGGAGGTTTGTTATGGAAACCACTCCGGTGCTGTGAATGAGAGCCCTACAACACAACTGCTATTCCAAGCCGAGACATAATGGATATCTGCCTTTGAGTAGAGACTTGTCCCATTTATTTCTCAGTGAATCTACAAATTCTCTTTTGAACAATGAGCCAAACATTCAAACATCAAGAGGTAGAGATGAGAGTACTGTATAGTAACATGAGCTCAAAAATTTGTATTTTGATGGAAAGAGAAAATTGTTACAACACTGTACAAGCAGTAGTTTTTTTGAAAAACAGGACTGGCATTCCCAAATACCCTTTAGATTTAGTATGTGGGTAAACTATTAAATATATTCTTTAAACAGTTAATTATGTAAGTTAAATAATGAAGGAGAGGGAAGTTCTGTATACTTTCCTTAAGTGAAAACAATTGAATCAACAGGAGAGAGTTGCAAGATTGGGTTTTTGTGCACTTACAGCGAATTATATTATTGTATTTTTTATTAGCTAAAGCCTATGGTTTTATTGTCCAAATAGGAAATATCTGAAATATTTCTTCTAATTTCCAGGACAAGTTTAAACTTTCCTAAAAAAAAAATACCCCCTCCCCACAAAAAAAAGCAACAAATAACCATCATTTGAAGGAGAAGTTGTATTCAATATAGTAGTCATTCCTCTCACCATTTAAGCACATACTTATGCTCTTTTAAATGTGTAAATCAGTGACATTTTTTAAGTGCAGATGGGTGATGCCCTGTGTTAGAAAAATATCACATAATGGGAAATTGTCTATCAAAAGTGGTTTACAAGAAGCAAAGGGTGTACTTATTTTGATATCATTTTATACCAAAAACATTTTACATGGTGTTAAATTTTTTCAAGCTCTGGGAAGAATCATGGTGTATAAAAGCAAATGCCCATTCTGAACTTTTTGAAATGACTTGGGTTTTACTTGAAGGCAAGATTGTGTTCCTTTTATTTTCTTGGACTGTGTTTCAAATATACTGTTAACATTAAAAGTGATGCTGAATTCCTGCACTGAAGTATAACTTAAGTATGACCTTTTTTTTACTGTCCATCTTGAGAAAAATGTACATCAGTCTATGTTGTGAACATCTCAAAGGCAGCTGAACAACTTTTGTGTCGAGGTTGCATATATGTAAAAGAGAACTCAGTCTAAAAGGTTCTGTTAGATATGAACGGACATTGTTATCAGAGATTTTGCAAAATTTATTTTATTAAGTATGTGGGCTATTTGCTGCAATTTTGTCCCTTTAAGTATTGAAAGATCAGTATAAAAAATGAAGGGCAGTATTGGTACTAAGTGTTCATATTTGTATAGGCCTTTCATATTTATTTCTATATATTAAAAATATAAGAAGACACCTTTTGAATAAAATTGACAACTGGAGCAGACTTCTGAAGTTTTGTGTTGTGTTTGAACTAAATGGAATGATACATGGCCTGTCCTGCTGAACCTTGAGTGGTTTTGAGCAGCATGTCCTACCCCTGAGATGCCCTTCTTGCCTTGCAGTCTCTGAATAGGGATGGAAAGAACAAAGTCCCAGAAGGAATGAATGAAAAAATAATTCTGACAATAGTGGAAGAAAGGAAAAAGAATCACATAAACACTAAGGTCTAATAGTTGCAGTCTGTGCTGCGGAAGACCTTTACAAGCACTGCAGTACCACTTTAGTTAAAAGTTCTGCAACAGAAAATAGGCCATAAATACTGACTAGTAAGGTTTATTTGTACAGCTTTGGGGTGTGAATGATTGCCTGCTTTGTTTTATTGAAAAAGAGGCAGACATGGATAGAAACTCTAACAAGGCTACAGAATTGGCATCCTTTTAGCTGATTTGTTTTACTGTGCATCAAGTGGAAGTATTCAAGGGAATTTTAGCAGTGATTTTAACACTGATTGTCTGGTTAGCCTTTAGATAGACTGAAGACATTACATGTTTCGCCATGTGAGCAGCATAAGCAGGATATGTATTTTTAGGTTGTTTGGAAGTAGACCAACTGCTGTACTGACAGGTATTCATCATTATCTCTCAGCAAGACCCAAATCTCCTACTGGCCAATTTACTGTCCTGTTGTGTAATAGTAGAGCTCAGTCTGAACATCTATTATTAGGATGCTTTCACATGAAATTAATCTCTGCAAATGCAAGGTAGAGCAGTTAATCAGCACTGTCAACACAACTGCGTGGCTCATCCGGTATAGGGTTTGCTGTACAAGTATAGCATTATGTTGCTTCATCCTATTATTCTGTGGAGAAGATACAGCTATGATGACAGCGTGTTAGCTCTACAGTGCTTAATCCCTATTAAGCCCATCATAGACGCCAGGATGCTTTCCTTGGTGTTATTTTTGCATCAAAAAATTACTGTACCAAAAGTAAACGTGGAAGTGCACAGAATTGCTACGTGAGCATAGTAGCGCTGAAAATACATGTTAAGTAATATAATTCTCCAAAATGTGTCTGCTAAAACTTCAAGAGACAATCTGATGACGCTATTCTATTCTCTTCACTTTTATTTTTTTTAAGCTCAGGACTAGTCAAAAGAAATGACAGTCTCAAAATTATGAAGGTGACCAGAGGCCTGGAGTATCTCTCATGTGAAGGCAGGAGTTGTTCAGCCTGGAGAAGAGAAGGTGCCAGAGGGCCATTGGAGCACCTTCCATTACCTGAAAGGCAGTACAAGAAAGCTGGAGAGGGACTTTTCATGAGGCCATGTAGTGACAGCACAAGGGGGGATGGCTTTAATCCAGAGAGTAGGTTTAGGTTTCTTCCAACCCAAACCATTCTATGATTCCCTGACAGTTTTCTCATCATGGGTTATTTGCAGTATTTGCTTGTCTGCTTAATTTTTTACATATTTTTGTGTTGCACAGATGGTTGCAGATTTGCCACTTGAAACCTTGAATTTTGTCACAGCATACATCTCATGCATACCATATGTTACCTCCTGAAACATTTTCAAATGGTTAGAATTATCTCTTTATGTCAGAAAATTGGTCAGAAAGATGTAACAAACTTTTGAACTGTAGGGAGCATTTTCTTAAAACCTAAAGCGTTAACTAACACTTTTTGCTTTTGCCTGTGTGAATGTGAAATGTGAAACATTACAAGGTGAGATGCCATTTGGAATTAATATCAGGCTGCATATATAAAGCAGACCCAATGTTTTTTTCCCCACCATGGAGCTGAGTTGGCTGTTGTAGAGCAGTTCCTGTTCCTTACTGTAACAAGTGAATGCAGCACAACTCATCAGATCACCTTGGGCTCTTGTTTTCCAGCTAAAACCATGCCATGCTCTGGAAACATGAGATGCCGAAGCTCTAACAAAACACGTATTATTCAGAGATCTTGAAAGTTTAAAAAAACAGAAGCCAAGAAATTGAACTTTTTTTTACCCAATTCCTTTAATGAGAAACACCATGTCCCAAACATCAGGGAGGGTAGGAATTTCCAATTTTGTGTCGTCTTTATACAGGATTTGTGGTGATGCAGATGTAGCTAATCTTCATATATTCCAGATAGATTTGCTCTTCTCTTTCTTTCAGTGTTTTTTTAGGTCTACACTTTGCTCAGAGGAACTTCTTTCAGTTACTTCCTAAGTAGGAACCAAAATGGAGACCCCAATAAACATTTGTTCTCTTTTACAGAATCACAGAATCAATTAGGCCGGAACAGACCTTTGAGATTATCAAGTCCAATTTATGACCCAATACCACCATGTCAACTAGACCGTGGCACTGAGTGCCACATGTCCAGTCTTCCCTTAAACACCTCCAGGGATGGTGGCTCCACCACCTCCCTGGGCAGCCCATTCCAATACCCAAACACCCTTGCTGTGAAAAAATTCTTCCCAATGTCCAACTTAAACCTCCCTGATCTATTTGAAATCTACCAAAGGTACTTAGAAACACTTTTGAGTTCTCATTTCTGTAGTGGGGTTGTCAGTTCTCCAGACACTTCTTCAATTATCACGTCTCCCTACCATCTGAAAAACACTTTCTTGACAGATCCACCAATACCTTTGAAGCATCCTGTCCATTTAGAAATTAATTTCTGTTGCTCATTATGCAGTGGATTAATTTTCTTAACTAGTGGGCACAGCATTTGCAGGCTTGCTTGGTTAATGTTTTTTACCGTAGGTTTCCACTTTCCAGAGAGAAATTTTGATATTTGATCTGGCTTTGTGATAACAAGCTTGAGGGAAAAGGCTGACTGCAGCTTGGCTCAGTCTCTGAAGGCATTAATTAAAATATAAACCATGTCTCTCACTGAAGCAAGCACACACAAACCTGAAACTACTTTTGGAATCCTGATTCTGGACAATCATGAGTCAGATTTATGAAAACAAAACTTCCTGATATTTTTTCTCCTTGCAAAACCTGACACCAGCACAGAAGCATAGCAGCTTTGATGGCATTTCCAGGACCAAGGCTGCCATCTGAGTTGAGCAGTGGTGAGGGCACTTATCCTGGAAGAGCAAACTCAGAAGAGGACCTCAGCAGCCCTCAGCAGCCTGTTTGGAGCAAAGTGTAACTTAGTAGCACGCAGCGAAGATGTCTAGCAGCCAATGCTATATCACACTGTCATCAGGTATTCTCTCCTCCAGGCTTCTGCTTTCCTCTCAAAAGCAAGCTAGAAGTCATGCTTGCTACCCAATTCCTGCCACTTGTCTCTGCCAAAATCTTTCTTGCAGCCATCCCCTTTGGTGATCCCCAGAGTCTTTAGGACAAGGCTCAGATCCCACTCAAGCTTTGCCTTCCGAGGCGGGTGAAGCAAGCTCAAGCGCCTGTGGTTCCCCTGGCCTGCAGCAGTGTGTGGTGTGGTGCTGCGCTGGGCTGCCTTTGCAGAGCAGTCAGAGGAAGAGGCAGCAGCCTGGCTGACCCAACCACCCTGTTTCCAGTGCCTCATGTGCCCTGGAATATCTTGTTCAGCCCAGGGCTGGCTCAGGCGTGGCCAGACAGACACAGGAAGTTACAGCTGAGGAGCTAATGTCATTAAGTTCAGGTCTTTGTGCACGTCCCACCACCTCCTTAAGATCCTCATACAGAGCAAAGTTGATAAGGGAAGGCTGCTTTTCAAACAAGAGAGGAAGCTTTGTGTAAAAAACTTTAGGTATCTTTTTGTCATCCTACAGTACACAAATACTATTTCTGGGAGGCAGTAAGCTTTTGGCATAGCAGCTGTAATAAATGAACCAATAGACACTTATACTGTATGATTTATTCCACCCTTCTGGTGCAGCAAAGGGTCTGAATTTGTGCTGAAACCAATTTTAAATTGCTTTGGCCACTCCATGCCCAGTGCTTCATTTGCAAAGCTCTCGTTTTGAGCCAGTGGATGTACAGTTTGACAAGCTTTTAAATTTGGAGGATGGCTTTTGTTGGTGTCTGCAGCAAGGTGAATCAGAAGAGCCTGGCATGTGGGCAGCTAAACACCCACCAGGGCCCAAAAACAAACTTCAGGAAAGGATGAGAGTAGAGAACTGACCTAAAAAGGCAGCCAGAAAAATCTCAGCTGTTGGAATGCATCAATCCATCCTTAGTTTCTTAACTCATGATATCTTACATTAATGGCTGCAGGACCAGATACTCTGACTCTACACAGCAGCATAGATAAGTGTACATTGTGTTTTTGTGATGCCCTGTTTTTTTGTATAAACAGGAGCATGGAACCTACTTCAGTGCTGATGCAAGGCAAATAGCAGACCATTATTATTCAATCCACCTGGGCTTTGCAAATGTCAAGATGATATCACTCGTGCTTGCTTTGTCATTATTAGACTTAATCATTTTTATTAGCTGGTGAACCAGGCAGTGTCTGTAAATGTGCTGATTGTCCCTTCAAACCATGCAGCAAAAATAGATAGCAAGAAAATAATTATTTCTGTAGCCCAAGCTCCTAATTTTAATGCAAATCTCTGCAATTGTTGGAACTAGGTCTATAGAAAGTTTTTATTAATTAATTTGCCCATTTCTGAGGATCTGGGCCCTATTTCCAATTTCTAAAGTAGGAGACAGCACCTGTGTTAACAGCATGCTCACATTGGGGCAAATAAAGCCAGAAAACTCAGGTTTCTGAATAATGTCTCCACCTCAACAAATATTTTTTGTATTATGTATATCAGGATATTCCTGCACACCATAGGGAAAAAAAACCCCACAGGATAACAGATTTCACAATGAGGAAACCTGATATTTTCAAATACAAAAGCGTATTTCACCAATAGAAAGGGGACGGCCCAAAAAAGACTGAAATTTTCATACTGGGGCTTTTCTTCTGAAGAAGCTTGATTTCTTTGGCAAGCTGTCCTGTTTGAACAGTCCCTCCTCCTTTCCAGGCAGCGCGCCAGGCAAGAGACAGCAGCAGAGACAGGCAAAGGAAAACACGTGAGT